TTGCAAAAGGAAAAATAGGTAAATTCAACTTCATCAAAATTAAAAACACGTGTGCTTCAAAAGATACCATCAAGAAAATTAAGAGATAATCCATAGAAAAGGAGGAAAACATTTCCAAATCTTATATAGTAAGAGACTTTGTACCCTGAATACATAAAGAACTCTTATAACTCATTAAAAAAAAAGAAAATAACAGTTAAAAAATGGCCATAGGATCTGAATAGACACTTCTCCAAAGAAGGTATAGAAATGGCCAACAAGCACATGTAAAGATACCCAACATCATTAGCCATTAAGCAAATACAAATCAAACCACAATGCAATGAAATACCATTTAACATACACCGGATGGCTGTAATAAAAAAGATAATGAGGAGTACTGGAGAGGAGAAGGAGAAATTGGGACCCTCATACACCTCTGGTAGGAAAGTAAACTGGTATAGCCAATTTGAAAAAGTTTTTCAGTTCCTCAAATGTTAAACATGGAGTTATTCTATGACCCATCAACTCCACTCTTCAGGTTTAGAAATAAAAACTTACACGTGAATGTTCATACAACATTATTCATAATAGCCCAAAATTGAAACAACCTAAATGTCTATCAAATGCCCTTCAAATAATCAATAGAAGTGACATATCCATACAATGGAATATATTTCAGTATTAAAAAGGAATGAAGGGGCGCCTGGGTGGCGCAGTCGGTTAAGCGTCTGACTTCAGCCAGGTCACGATCTCGCGGTCTGTGAGTTCGAGCCCCGCGTCAGGCTCTGGGCTGATGGCTTGGAGCCTGGAGCCTGTTTCCGATTCTGTGTGTCTCCCTCTCTCTCTGCCCCTCCCCCGTTCATGCTCTGTCTCTCTCTGTCCCAAAAATAAATAAACATTAAAAAAAAAAATTAAAAAAAAAAAAAAAAAAGGAATGAAGTTTTGCTACATGCTACAGCATTAAGAACCTTGAAAACACTATGCTATGTGAAAGGAGCCAGTCACAAAAGTTCACATATTGTATGATTCCATTTATAAGATGTGTCCAGAATAGGCAGTTTTCTAGACAGAAAGTGGGTTAGTCATTGCTTATGGCTGGTGGGTAAGTAAGAAACAGAGTGCAGGGTTTCCTGTCGGGGTGATGAAAACATCACAGAATTGATTGTGGTGACAGTTGCACAATTTTGTGAATATCCTAAAAATGATTGAATGGTACAAATTAAATTTGTGAATTACATCTCAAAAAAGTTGTTACAAAAAGGTATATGAGCAATATTTCACATTTTAAGTTAAAAGTAAATCTAAATGATAGTATCATGATTTGAAAGTTATGTGTGTAGTATAGGAGATATGTCACGCAGGAGATGAATGGACACTATGAACAAAGCCATTCACTCTGTCAGCCCACAGTTGATTGAGACTTTATTAGAGGTGTGTGTCCAGTTTTAATCTCTACCCTTTAATATGGATGTGGAGAATTGAAGATTCTGAGAAGTCAGTCATAGTGATGTTAAATTATCATTGGCCAACATTTATGAAAACAACATGAGGGTGTTGGTGTTGGCATAATTTAATCCAGACTGGAGTGGGGAGGATAGAGCTGGGCATTTGAGTTATGTAAGGAAGTCAAAAGTTGTCTGCTAGTATATGAAATTTACTAGTATGTGTCAGGAGAAGAAATGGAGTAGCTCTGTATCATATCTCTAAAGGATGCAATTAAGTAAAATTGGAATAAATTGAAGCCAGGGAACTTTACATTACACATTGTTCTGATAATGAGAGTTAATTATTTATAGGTAGATATTAACAAGAGCCTTAAAAGTCTCGAGACATTCAAGATTAAGAGGTATTCATACTTTTAAGAGTTTAAAGAACATGGAAAATGCATAAGCCTTTTTGTATATAAACATATCTGGATACAAAAGAATATATATTAAATAACCACAATTAGAGAAACTTCATAGCAAAAACACTAGAAGAAAATATACCCAAAGTTTAACAGTTATTATTTATTTGAGGATCAGTGCCTATTGTTATGTTGTTTTCTATATTGTTTCACACCCCCCATAATTTGTATAAATATGTTTATAATCAACAAATAAAAATTTTAAATACTTATAAGATACATATAATCTTTCTTAGTTTATGTGTATGTGTCCTCTCCACATAATGTCACATCTTTTTAAAAAAAAAATTTTAATGTTTATTTTTGAGAGAGAGAGCATGAGTGGGGGAGAGGCAGAAAGAGAGGGAGACAGAGAATGCAAAGCAGGCTTCAAGCTCTGAGCTGTCAGCACAGAGCCCGAAGTGGGACTCGAACTCACAAACCGTGAGATCGGGACCTGAGCCGAAGTCAGACACTTAACCGATTGGGTCACCCAGGTATCCCAGAAAATGTCACATCTTAATCACATTTTTTTCATAGAGAAGAAATGTTTACCCCAAGAGCAAAGACATTGTGTTAGCCTCACCACTTCAGACTTAAAAAATTTATTTTTTAATTTTGAGTATAGTTGACACACAATATTATAGTAGTTTCAGGTGTACAATATAGTGATTCAACTTCTCTATACTTCATGCTCTTCTTGCTACAGTGTTGTTATCCATCTGTCACCTTACAATGTTATTACAATACTATTGAGTCTGTTCCCAATGCTGTGCCTTTTATTCCCGTGACTTACTCATTTCATAACTAGAAGGCTGTGTCTCCTACTCCCCTTCACCCATTTGCTGATCCTTCTACTGCTCTCCCTTCTGGAAACCTTCGGTTTGTTCTCTGTGTTTATAGGTCTTATTTGGCTTTTTGTTTCTTTGTGCACTTGTTTTGCTTTTTACATCCCACATAATGTGAAATCATATGGTATTTGTCTTTCTCAATTTGACTTATTTCACTTAACATAATACCCTCTAAGTCCATCCATATTGTCACAAATGGCACAATCTCATCCTTTTTAATGGCTGTGTAATTCCATTGTATGTATATATATATATATATATATATATACACCACATCTTTCTTATCCATTTGTTTATGATGGACACTTAGGTTGCTTCCATATCTTGGGTATTGTAAATAATACTGCAATAAACATGGAGGTGCATGTGTCTTTTCAAATTAGTGTTGTTTTCTTTGGGTAAATATCCAGTAGTGGCATTACTGGATTCTATGTTATTTCTATTTTTTTATTTTTTTGAGGAATATCCATACTTTTTTCTAAAGCCACTGTACCAGTTCATATTCCCATAAATAGTGCATGAGGGTTAGTTCTTCTCTGCATTCTCATCAACACTTGTTATTTCTTGTCTTTTTTATCCTAGTCGTTCTCACAAAGTGTGAGGTGATATGTCTTTGCAGTTTTGATTTGTATTTCCCTAATGATTACTGATGTTGAGCATCTTTTCATGTGTTTGTTGGTCATCTGTATGTTTTCTTTGGAAAAATGTCTATTCAGGTTCTCTGCCCATTTTTTAATCAGATGGTTTGTTTGCTTGTTTTTTTTTTTTGGTGAGTCATATATATTCTTCATTGATTTTTTTTCTGATCTATTAGATCTTTGTGATAACACTATTATAACTTATTTTGGATTTGTTATTTTTCACCAAATGTACCTTGCTCAGATAAATTTGCTCTGATAACATTTTTAATGAGAATTCTTCATCTTTAATTTTATTAGATGATTTAAACTCTAGATATTTTTAATAACAATTTCACAAAGGATGCGTTTTTACCACCTATATTGCTTAAGTATAAAGAATACATGGGGCTCCTGGGTGGCTCAGTCAGTTGAACGTCTGACTTTTGATTTAGGCTCAGATCATGATCCCAGGGTTGAGGGATCAAGCCCTGCGTCTGTTGCTTAGCATGGAGCCTGCTTGGTATTCTCCCTCTCTCTCCCTCTCTCTCTCTCTCTCTCTCTCTCCCTATCTTTTTTTCTTTCTCCATTTGTCCCCCTCTCCCCTGCTCATGTGCTCTCTTTCTCTCACACACACAAAAAGAATATATAAAGAAAAAAAAGTAAACTGTTTCCAATGGTTTCATTATATTTTACAGTGCCTCTTGCTCATTTTTCCTTTGTAGTTCTCAAAGATATAACTCAGCAAGTATTTACTGAGTGATTATCATGAGCACGTTTCTTCTCAGAGGTTCAAAATTTTTATATCACCACAGAGAAGATAAATAAAATACTTTTTTCAAATTAACTTAATAATTCAGAGTCCTTGTTTTGTAGTTTGCCAGGTAAGCAAACCTGCTGGAACATAAACACAAAATCAAAAAGCATGCTTTTGCTGCTGCTGCTTCTTCTGTTATTATTATTAGTAGTATGTATATGGTGGTATTTTGATGATGATGATGTCTACGGTAACTTTCACTGAAATTCCCACTTAGCTTTTCTGTATGGATTTTAAATTTGAGATCACTTTAATGACTATGACAAATTTACTTAATATTCCTTTATTTTTCAAGAGCTGTAGTCTTCCAAGTAATTCTGAGTTTTGGGTTTCACCTCAGCCCATATTTTTGGGATTGGACCCTTACATGTGTTTTTTTTTTTTTTTTTAAGCCCTACATTAAAAACATCCAGGTTGAGATCATTATATTAAAAGGTTTTCCTCATCTGCCTTTGCCATAGGACAGTGGTCTTTAACCTTTGACAACACAGCATCATGGGAGCTTTAAAAAATGCAAATTCACTGGCTTCACGCAGGCCAATTATATTACAATATTGGACGTGGGAGGGGTGACTGGGGTTTTCAGTGGGGTATTTTTGTTTGTTTTTGTTTTCTGTTAAGAGCATTACAGGTGGGTTCCAAGTGAATAACTTGTGACCAGGGACTTACGTTGTTACATTTTGATTTTCACCATGAAATACAGAGCCCTGGATTAGTTGTGCTATGAAGGCTTGTCAAATGAACGATGGACTAAACATCACCTCTTGTATTTGCCCCTGCTTGCATCCTGAGTGACAATGAGTCTAGTTCCAGATTTAGTCATGTTGGTCTTCATTTTCTTAGCACAGGTGCAGCAGTGAACAGCAGTGAGAGTCTCCCTCCATCTTCGTCTGTCAATGACATCTCCTCCATGTCCACCGACCAGACCCTGGCATCTGACACTGACAGCAGCCTGGAAGCCTCAGCAGGACCCCTGGGTTGTTGCAGGTGACTAGCCGCCTGCCTGCGAAACCCAGCATTCTTCAGGAGATGATGCGATGGAACACACACACACGCAGACACTCACGCGCACACACAAACACAGACACGCAACTATAAGAAAATGGCAAGGGAGAGAATCCAAGCCTAAAATTGAAACAAATCTTTCAGCCTGCTTCTTCTCCAGAGTTCTGTATTGCAGCTAAGCTAAATGTATATTTAACTTCTAGTTGCTCTTGCTTTGGTCTTCCTCCAATGATGCTTACTACAGAAAGCAACTCAAATACAATTAGAAAAGCCTTTTCCATAAAGTGTAATTTTAAATGGCTGCAAAACCAGCAACCTGTAACTGCCCTTTCAAATGGCATGACAAGGTGTGCAGTGGCCCCATCCAGCATGTGTGTGTCTCTATCTTGCATCTACCTGCTCCTTTTGGCCTAGTCAGATGGATGTAGATACAGATCCGCATGTGTCTGTATTCATACAGCACTACTTACTTAGAGACGCTACTGTCAGTGTCCTCAGGGCTCTACCAAGACATCATGCACTGGGGTACCACATGGTCCATTTCATGTGATCTATTACTCTGACATAAACCCATCTGTAATATATTGCCAGTATATAAGCTATTTAGTTTGTTAATTGATTAAGCTGTATGTCTTATAAGAAAACATGTAAAGGGGGAAAATATGGGGGGAGTGAGCTCTCTCGGACCCTTGAAGATGTAGCTTCCAAATTTGAACTGATTAAATGGCACCTGTATACCAATTTGTAGAAAGAACATATGTGATGCTTATGTACAGTGTGGGGGTGGGAGGGGGTAACAGTTTCCAGGTACTGAATGGTTTGGCTTTTAGAAGGAAGGTGGGGTAAAAAGTTAAGGGTCTTTTCTCTGACACTGAGCCTGTAGGAGAGACTAGAGTGTAGCATTTCAGTGTGGAGGAACACCTCAAAGAGATTACTACCCAGATAATTATCTGGAGACACCGACATCCACAGTTTACAGAGTAGACCTCATTGTCATTTACAAATTATGTATCACATCTGGACAGAGAGTGGCAGGTGGTGAGTCAGGGTTATTGTGTCCATATCTGATGGTAAGAACCCCTCCCTGGAACGAAGTGGAATTGCCTCTGGATGATGTACTTAACAGAAAATGAACCTACGTAGACTATTTTCAGATTGTGGGTTGTGTTTTCCATGAGTGTGCTACTTCCCAGGTTTATACCCTGCCATGGTTTTATTTTGAGAAAAAAATGTTACTTTCCTCTTCTGGAATAAAAAAGAAATGTTAGTTACTTAAAAACAAACAAACCCAAAACACGGGGTGATCCTCAGGTCAGCATTTGAAAACATTTCCACAGACGTTACTATTCCTCAGGGGTTTCCCTGACTCCTTAATATGGCTGATGTTCCATGTTTATTTATTTTCATAAATTTGAACAATTCAAGAAGGGCTGATAATCTGAGTTTTGTACTGCAGTTGATGTGACAGCAATAACTCTTCCCATAAGTTACTGCTGCTAAATAGCTTTAGCAATATGAGTTTGTCTTAAAAGCCATGAAGCGTATGTGTCAATGTTTAGCAAAATCACCTGAATTTAGCTCAAATCAAATGAAAGTGCTTTCCCGAGCACTTAAGAAGGCACTGTGAAACATCTTGGTTATATACAAGGCGATACCAGGGTGACTTCTTAGCAATAATAGGGACCAGGTGGAGGCTTCCCTTCTTACTCACTTTGGTGAAGTACCCATCACAGTTATTTGCACTCTGACCGTTTTGGTGCTCACCAGTGTGGTGGTATTTCACCTGAAGAAGAAGTGAAACACATGAAATGGATGGTTGATGAGTGGGATATGACTGGCAAATGGAATCCCTTCAAAAATAGAGCAAACAAGAATGCTAGTGCTCTGAAAATTGCCTTAAATACAACAATGGGGAAGCTTTGTCTCTTTCAAGCAATAGAGCCAACCCCCACCATCACCATGTGAGCAATGCTGCCATTAATGGGATTGCTTCACAATAGGATTCATGACAACAGGTCATTTGTTTAAAATGGGGAGAAGAAAACCCAGCCTGTGCAGCTTGTCCCCTGGAATAAAAGTGGCCCAGCTTCTTTCTCTTGCTGCCATTCTTTTTGATTAAAATTGCAGACAACTTGATTTTACAAATACCTCCGCATTCACATGGGCTCTCTCACTTTTCCTTCTGTCACTTACCACTCCCCACTTTAAAAAACAAACAACTTCTCTGTATCCCTTCTTCTTTACTTACCCCCTTTTTCTGGATTTTTCTTTTGTTGCACCTGTGTCCTCTCTCTCTGTGCCTGACTTTCTAGCACATGTGATTAAGTGCAGGGTACAGGCAACTGTTTGTTGCAAGCATAATCTCATTAGCCACAAAATGGCATCAAAAGACAGAAGGAAATCTCCAGCCAGCATCTTAGAAGTTCATGACAGTTGGATGATCTCTTGGGTGTGCAGAAGTGATTTTTTTTTTTTTTAACTCAAATTAAACCAAACAAGAATCAGGCTAATACTCCCTTGGTATTGCTTGCCTTCCCTAAACTCCGCTAGTTTGATCTCTCCTGTTGTATGGCTCTTGGGAGCTGATCACCTTTACCAGATATTCCTTATGGACAAGAAAAAAATGGAACAAATCCCTCCGATTGAAATATCTGTGCAAACACAGCTAAGCGTTTGGCTTCTTGAGTGCTTATAAGATTAGTTTTACTAGGTTATCAAAACAAGATAGGTCATAGGAGAATAAAGAGAATTTTCATTTCAAAAGCTCAACATTCACCATCTTGGGTCTACTTTATTATAATAACTTCAGGAGGTGATTCTGTTATTATCAAATTTTCAGAATGTATTATGTTCTGCATTATTTTCTTTAAAAGCAAAAACAAAAACAAAAACAAAAATGTTTCCTGTGTAGTCACCTGTTAATTCCAAAGGACTTTCTTGCTTTTCAGACAAGGAAGTGTCAAGTCCGCTGGACTATATTCCTGGGAGAAGTGGAAGTCCTGTCTGTGGTTGGGGTTCATTTTGGATATGAGGTTGGCAGTCTGAGAGGCCTAACCTTCTGTCCCTTCCTATAGGGCTGATGGTTTCGCAGTGACCCTTAATGAAATATTTTGTAGGATTTTGTTAGAGGGAGAGCTGGATACCCACGTGCAGGAGGAATTAAATTGTTGGGAGAGAGTGGCAAAACCATACCACTTTGATAGATTCATTTTCCAGTCAGTGTGTTCATTTTTAAAAAAGAGATGCATTGGCCTTACAACCAAATTTATTCTTGTGAAATAAGAACTGCTAATAATCTTGCATCTTCAAGAATCTGATGACGGAGCTTTGTAAGAATGCATACTAGGGGTGGACCAGGACCTGGCCAATTCCCTCCAATTGGAGTAAGCTATTTAATTGAGGGCTGAGAAGGTAATAGTTTTTTGGGTTTTTTCTTTTCAACCCGTTACCATTATCAGAAAATGATATATAAGGATACTGATAGCAGCTGACTGGTAAATCATAAAATAAGCCTTGACAAAGGGAATAAGTGGAATAGGTAAGAATACATCAATCCTTTAATGACCTGCTAAGGGAAAAATAAGCAAAACTGACTTCTAAATTTTAAATATTCATGCAAAATCTAAATTCTACAAAGTCTACTTCTTTTTAATTCTCTTAACATATGACAATCTAAATCTTAAAAGCATTATGCTCGGTAAAGAATGTTGTCAGATAGCTTTGCTGAAAAATGTATCTTCTAAAGCTCAGAGAAAGGAATAATATTGTCCCCATAATCTTTGATCCCAATCACTTTGGGTCTGAAGAGGGACCCCTCTCCCTGCCCACAACCTCCCCCAACATTTTACTTGTGAGTCCTACATTTTCTACAGGTAAAATTAAACCAAGCAGGAATACTCCTTTCTGTAAAAACAACAAACAAGTTACAGTGTAAATAGTTATGTTAGTTATTTTCCATGTGAAATATAAGATTTTGTGACTCCTTTTGGCACTTAGACAGTTCTTTGTCTGAAATGGTTCATTTTGACCCATTTCCTTGGTCAGTCAAGCGGAAACGGAAGGCCTCTGTTTGTAAGTGGACTCCTGTATATCTAACTTTTGATTATGTGGGACCAATGGCCAGTATATTCTAAAAAAAACTCCCAACCCTTGTCTAGCATTAAACTGTTCACCTTGCCATGTCTATCTCGCAACAAGACCTAACTTGCACATGCCTGTTATTCTGCATGATTGGACTCAAGAGACTATTACCAATAAGAATTGTGCTGTGTCAGTGTTTATAAAATGGACTTAAAGCACACCCACATTCATATACACCTCACCCTTATAGCTCTAGGTCAACCCTGGAAGGCAAAACCATGCATGTCCAGTTTCTTTGCAAGGTCTTAGTGTGAGAACTAAAAGTCAGCCTGATGGATCAAATGCAATCTCAGTGATGTTTAATAAGGATTTTAAATTATTTAAATCATATCTGTGTTCCTTCTCACTCTTTTTCATTTCTATTTATGCCCTTTATCTTCAAAATGTCGGTGGAACAAGAGGGTGAGTGGGGAGAACTTTGGCTTTTTTGGACTCTTTGTAGGTGGATGCTGAATCAACACATTGTGATTTCTGTTTCTTATGAACTATTAAAAACCAGAGCAAATCTGCTTCCCTTAACATAAAACCAAATCAAATCCAGACCTTGTCGGAGTTTGCCTGTTGAAAATCATTCTTGTGCTGCTTGTTGTCTTGGGTTTCGTGTCCTGACGGGAGCTCTGAAGCATCTCACATGGTTTCATTGTGTGGTCTGATTGTGCCAAGGAATAAATAAGAAATGAGGAATGACCCACCTTCTCACTATGGGTAAAGAGCATGTAATGTGTATGTGACCACGTAGAAGGCTGTGTTTCATTTGAGACTGGTTTCTTCTAAAAATGACCTTTATTTCTGTCTGCAGATATTAGTTGTATACCTGAAATTCAGTAAGATTCTTTTAAGGCATAA